CTTGCACGAGCGCCCTGTGGCGTTTCACTCAATCCCTGCTTGTCAGAAATCAATGCAGCGACACCCCGCAATCGCTGGAATCCGCGACTAGTAGATATTATGCATATATATATATATAGATCATATCGATTGCAAAGCACAATCAACAAGAGTAACCAACAACAACAGGTCGATGAAAACCAATACAATCCAATATACATTGTGCATTGCCATTCACACTGCAAAAGAAAGAACACCAAAGCAAGTCCCCCAGAATCAAAACCCCAAACCTGCCAAAACCGCACAACCACTAAGAAGAAGCACATAAACGCAAAATACGCCCCCCAAACAAAAAACAACTAATAGAAAAATTAACAAAATCTACCCAACAACACACATACACACACACACACACACATCCACCAAGATAACGCAGCACCACACACCACAAAAAGAAGAAACAAGCACCCCCCCACCCCTGAAAACACACACACACACACCCTTTAAACAAACCAAAGACACACACACACACTCCATAAAAAGAAGAATCGAACACCCCCCCATCTCTTAAAGTATACCTACACCCTTTAAAGAAATCAAACACGGACACACAACCTTGAAGCAAAAATCAAACGCGCACCCACGCACACAATACGAAGAAGACACGTCACCATCTTTCCCACGGTGCCGAGGCTCAGGGATTGGGCCTGACGCCACTGTCGGCCCTTGGCGCAGGCGTCCGTGCTGGCGCTGAAGCAGATGCGGTCGGCACGCAGGCGCCCGTCCTCTGAAGGTGAGCCATGCCCAGACAACCCCTTGGTACGTAAGGAGGTGCTTAGACCCCTTTTTTTACCCCCCCAACAGCCATCCTCATGAAGTACTTGGACCCTCTGGGATGGTCAAAACGTCATCCCAGAACCAGATCCGCAGCTATTTATTGGGACTGCCCTTTACTAAGCTTCAACCCGGGCTTTCATTGTGCCTCACGTGAGCCATGGTCGAAACTCCGTGTGTTTGGCCTAAGGTCTTCGGTCGCTTGTCGTGCGTGAGGGTGGGCACTCTGGCTATGCGAAGTCTGGATTAAAGGGCGTGAAAAGAATGGTTCCCTTGCAAAGAATCATTGTGGTTAAGGTTCCTGCCAGCTGGATGACCGTCCCTGTTTACCCAAGTACAGGGGTCTTCTAACAATGGCACACGTGCGGTAATTAGGTAACCATGCAGGGCGTGGTTCAAACCCTTGAGAACTCTTTCTGGTGCTCAGTAGGGAATGAGGGAACGAACCTGGGGATTCCCTTAAAGGAAACCACCAGTTGGATGGTGTAAATCGGGGGCATCCCCAGGGGTCATTCCATTTCTCATTCCCTGCCTATCGCACCAAGAACTAGAGGCTAGTGGGAGACAGGCCAAGCCAATGGTGCGGATATCCGCCTTCATTTACATGTTTTTGGGGACGACTCCTTGATGCTAGGTTTTGCTTGTGTCTCATGTCACGGCATGCATGCATCAACGGACCTCAGTTTTCTCCAGCCATCTTTGCAACAGCATCTACCAACTAAGTCCCCTCCTCCCATTTCTACATGGAACCTGGGGGCCACTCGTACATAATTGCATTTTTTTTTGGGGGGTCGGTGCCACAACTTCACTTGATGCCCTCAGGCAATGGCGAGCCTATGAATTCAATGCAACGCAATGACGTGTTTGACATGCCTCCGAACTACAACTTGTGAGTCACGCGTCAAACATGGCAGTTCCGCAGACACGAACAAAACAACAAGCTGGTTCTTGTGGGAAGCTTAGCCACGCCCCTCCTAATCGTGGACAACTGGAATCAACGGAACTTCAGATGGAAGGTTTTGGGCTATGAATTGCGTTCCAATCACAACAACTTGGTTTCTCTGCGCACCCCAGATCACTCACCCGTGAAGGTTGAGGCCAATGCCTCTCTTTCCTTCGGACCACCAAAGATGAGGGTCTTCGATTTTCTTCGTTTCCCCAAAACACCAAAGAGCTACCGAGCTTCCAAAAGAAACGACCCCAGCCACGGCCACCGGGGCCTCGGCACCGGTCCTGCAGTTCGCAGAAGAGACTGAGACTCAGCTGCCACAGAGACGCTTTGCCCCGGGAGGTAATCGCCTAGCTCCAAAGCGATGTCTGAAACGATGTTCACTTCAACATGAGAAAGATAGACTAATATTTAGTTCAAGACATACGAAAGTGAACAGATGATCGGTTAAACAGAATGACATGCCAATGTTTTGTGAAACATGCTGGGCAAATCCGACGTCCGGTTAAACAAGCTGAGATAAACCGATTTTCGGATGAACATGCGGATCAATAAACTGATTGTTGTTTAAACATATGAGAAGAAAGCAAAACAACAAAGAAAAACCATATGTGTGGTAAGAAACAAACGATGAACTAAACCAATGCTTTGCGAGACATGTGTTTTTTTACATTTTTTTTTCGGATTTTGTTGGGATTTTGTGTCCGTGTTTCGTCCGGGCCAGCAAAATGTCGTGTTTTACAGCATGTTCTCGCGAAATTGACGCATTTTACACTAGCCCGTCAACATCCCCAGCATCGTTTTTAACATCCCCCATGTCCGACCAACATCCCTAGCATCACCAACAAATCGGCAACAAAATCGAAAAAGTAGCTGGCGGGTTGACGGGGTCAAACAAAAATGATGATTGAACTAGGAGGGCATTTCAGTCCCTGTAAATATATGTATATGCATAAAAAGTAGCGGCGGGGTTGGGGGGGGCTGCCGCAGCCCCCCCATGATGTTCGCAGAAGATGATTCGAATAGGGGTGCAATTCAATCTCTGCAAAAAGTCTAAACAAGTAGCGGGGGGGTTGGGGGGCGGCAGCCCCCCTCATGATGTTCGAAGAATTGATGATTCAACTAGGGGTGCAATTAAATCTCTGCAGAAAATCTAAAACGTAGCGGGGCGGTTGGGGCGTCAGCAGCCCCCCCCATGATGTCGGAAGAAGTGATGATTCAAGTAGGGGTGTAATGATTCAAGAAAGGGTGCGATAGAATTTAAAAGGCAGCGAGAGGGTTGGCGGGGGTGGCTTCCCCTATGATGTTCGAAGAAGTGCATACATGCAGACATACATGGATTACACAGATTACCTAAAATGTTGTATTTTGCAGCATTTTCTCGCGAAATTGCACGCTCGAAAAAAGTGATGATTCAAATAGGGGTGCAATTCAATCTCTGCAAGAGATCTAAAAAGTAGCCGGGGCCCATGATGTTTGAAGAAGTGTTGATTCAAATAGGGGTGCAATTACCTTGCAAACAATCATGATGCGGGAAGCCAAATCCAAAAACCAATGAAAGGGTGCAAAAGCCAGCATGCAAAAAAGCCAAAGCCGCCAAAAGCCGCATAAACCAGCGAAAAGCCGCAAAAGCCAAAACGCCACCTGCCGAAGAGGAACTGGGAATGCAGAGGATGCGAAAAGCCAAAGCAAAAAAGCCACCAACAGCTGCATAAACCAACAAAGAGCCGAAAAGCCCAGAAGCCAAAAAGCCAAGAAGCCAAGAAGCCGAAAAGCCAAGAAGCCAAGAAGCCAAGAAGCCAAGAAGCCAAGAAGCCAAAAGCGAAAAACCAAAATATTAAAAAACAAATCCTAAAATACATACCCCTCCCTTGAATAAGCCGCATTGTTGGTTAAACATGCTGAACTAACCGATTGTTGGTTAACGATGCTGAAGCATAAACCGTGTTTGGTCAGCCATGCTTCATGCTTGAACCAAACACGATGTGTGGTTTAAACCTGAAACATCCCGAACAATAGACCGATGCTTGATTAAACATGCTTACACCTAAATTGATGTTGGAGTTCTCATGGTTGAATAAAACCATAAACCGATAATTGGCCGAGAATGCTTAAAGCCATGTGTTTTGTTTTCGACAAACTACTAAGTCGACGAGTTGAGGTTAAGCCTGCGCAAATAAAACGATTTTGGGTTAACCACGTTGAACCATAAACATATGTTTGAGTAAACATGCTTGAATACACCGACGTTCGGATAAAAGATGCTTAAATGGACCGATTTGTATCAAACATGCTGAACAATAATCCGAAGGTTGATTCACCATGCTTAAACAGTTTCCTTGTGGCTGTCCAAAAAGCAGGGGAACCAGGATCTGGCTCTCTAAGCCAAATGTTGCCCAACTCCGCCTTGCTGTAGGTCTTCACATCCATAGGATACGGTGCCTTCCATGGCCCGAGATCTTATCTCGAGGTCTCCGCTGCGCCCTAATCAAGCCGGGCGTGTGAGCCGGTGAACCAGAAAGGCTGCAAGCGCAACTTGCTTTGGCAGAAGCCAGCTCTCGCGCGCATGCTAGACAAGCATACATTATTCTTGTTTTTGTTTTTGTTTGTAGGACATCGTGAATGGGGGGAAAATATAGACTCAGAAGAACTGGCTTGCTGCTCTATATTTGCTGTGCAGAAGCCTAGAACCTCGCATGAAGGAAGCCCGGAACCTCGCATCTACAAAGGCATTTCACACTCTGATATCAAGCGTTGGTCCCGGCGCGTACAATATGATCTCTGCCGACGGACAAGGTACCCTCTTCGTCCCGGGCAAAATATTTCCCCTATAAAGACTTAAGAACAAAAAAAACATCTTTGCCGGTGAGGCGCAAACACACACAGACACGAATGGATTACCATCTCTTTGGTGGTTTCGTGGTGATCCCATGTATTTCGGACCTTTTGATCAACCCCCAAGTAGTCTAGGTCCTCCGGTAGAAAAGTTAGAATAAGTTGGTACCCACTTTTTTCTGTAGTCTATTTTAGTAGGGTCCCGAACCCTCCCCCAAAAAAAGCAACGGTAAAAGTCGGCACCTAGCTGGGGGACCTAGAAACCATATCATATAGGTATGGGTCAAAAATACCCACTAGGCCGCAGGTTTGAGTTCCTGATGCCATTTACCGGGGTAGTCTTCGGGGGAGGCAGGAGGGATGCGCCCCGCAGGGATACCACACGCCACCTGGGGTCGCCCGCGGCTCGTGCATCACGGAGCCCCCGCACTGCCAGGCGCTGAAGCCGATCTCCATCTCCTGGATGGAGGGAAACGAATGGGTCTGGCTTACAAGAGGGATCCAAATGGATATATCTATATGGTCACCCCCCCTGCATGACCCACCTTTTTCTTTCAAAAAGTCGTTGGGGACCATTGACAGACAACGAATATATATATATAAGATGTGCTCATCCAAAGCAAAAGGCTTGGAGGGGTGCTTGACAACTTGAAAGGCGGATCCAAATGGAAAATGCGCTTTGAGGGGCGCCTCGTTTTGAGAGAAACCACTTACGAACATCAGTTGTTTGGCAAGTGGACACCCCAGGCGCTTCAATTTGAGATCGAAGAAGACAGGGCGCGCTGAATAGGAACGGATTCAGGAACGGATTCACACATGAACAAGACATGAATCCGGGTGTTGACACGAGTCGGGTGTGACCTGTGCCGATTGACTATAGCAAGCAGCGTGTGCGCATCTCAGGACAACTCCTTGGCAAATTGCGAAAAAGTCAAGTTGTTGGGCCACCACAAATGGAAGCGAGCGAGAGAGAGAGAGAGAGAGAGAGACAGAGAGAGAGAGAGAGAGAGAGAGAGAGAGAGAGAGAGAGAGAGACAAAGGGGGCAGGGAGAGAGGGGGAGAGAGAGAAAGAGAGAGAGAGAGAGAGAGCGAGAGAGAGAGAGCGAGAGCAATGCAACATGCCAAGCGTCGCAGAGACGAGGCAATCTGCTCCACACATTTAAATTAGCCCATCCACAGGCTCAGACTTCCTTCTGAGACACACATATCGCTGTCAAAGTATTTGAACCATTCGTTTGGGGCAGGAAGACAGGACTGTATCGGTAACTTGAGCCACAATCAAAACCCGGGTAGATGCAGGTTAGCAAGGGACAATCCCAACCACAAATAGCTGCGGCCGCCGTCTTAGTTCTTTACATGGTTCTGGGTCGACCATTTTAATACCGGGTTTCGATCGTGACTCACTTGGTGGATCCCAGGACATCCCAAAGGCCCCCATCCTCCCCCCGCAGCAGTCAATCCTCGCCACCGTAGATCTGGAGCTCTGGGTCGTAGCCTGGCGTCCCAGCTTTGTGGAGGAAAGCGCCAGTCAGAATCTCGGGAGACCCGCCGTTCGGCTCTGAAACATGGGTTCCACTCGGATACGCGAAACACCCTGATTGTCCCAGTTCGGTGCCTTTGTGATCGGAAGCCGACGAGAACCTGTGAAAGCCAAAGGAGCAAACAGGGATCCAAGAGGTGACATCTGCAAGCTGGGAATGGACATACTGCGCGAAACGACCGAACGAAAAAATGCAAAGTTCTGACTGGATCGGACTTTTGTTGCACGCGTTCGGGTTGGCTACCAAATTGTCACAACAGTACGGTTCTGCACGGTTTTGCGAACGCTTTTTGAACGCTTTTTGAACGCCTTTTGAACGTATCTTGAACGCGTTTTGCGCTGAAAGGGTTTCGAACGGTTTGGAACGGTCCCGAACGGGCAAAGTAGCACCGGTGTTACGATTGTAACAACACTGATCAAATTTTGCAAATTTCCCGTTTGGTGCTATAATTGTACAAATTGGGGGGTAGCAGGTAGGCAAACGGTAGGCAAACCTCCTTTGCCTGTGGGGGTTGCTTTGAAACGTGTCCAGCTGCCAAGTCCATTTGCGGCTTCGTGTTTCTTTTGTGGTTTCGACCCCATGGCAGCGGGACCGTTTCTTGGGGTTGGCAGTTGGGAGGTCGGGTCTTGATTCAAGGAGCATCCTTTCTAGAGCTCCCTGAGTCACGCGTTCAATGCCGGTTTCCTTTCTAGCTATATCCAAATCTAATTTCCCACGAGGCCAAGTGCTGATCGGATTAAGCCCATGGATTTGAAAGGGGCGTGTGCCCTGCGTGTCTTCCCTTTCCCAGAGAAGGACTCAGGCGTTTTTTTGGTGGGTCAAAGTATCTTAGGTACAAGCCCCGGCCGACCGTGCCTCCAAGGTGCAGAAACCAACTGCGGTCCTGCGGCAAGATTATTGACCGGATGTGACATGGGAAGCAAAAAAGACCAAACCCCTGTTGGGCCACCTGTTGGGCTATTTAGCACCCAGATGTTGGGCAACCTGCTGGCTCTTTAGCACCGAGATGTTGGACAACCTGTTTATTGAACATTGGGCTGTTAAGCACCCTTATGTTGGGCAACCTGTTTATTGGCTATTTGGCAACCAGATGTTGGGCAACCTGACCCAGATGTAGGGCAACCTGTTTGTTGAACATTGGGGCTATTTAGCACCGAGATGTTGGGCAACCTGTTTGTTGAACATTCGAGAATGGGGTATTTTGCCAGATGTCACGTATCAATCCAAACGAAGGTTGACGGGTACTCGAAACGTGCTAAATCTTGCAAACCAGTGGTGGCTGATATTGAAACCAAGCACACCAATGGAAGCACGTGCCTGTACGTACGATACTAGAAAGTGATGCTTGATCGAGTCGCAACTCAGATGAAAGCTGAAGCTTGAGCATTCACTGGCCTAACCAAATGAACCCAACACTGAAATCTCCGTGTTTAGCCCGCCGAAACCTCAAGTCCTTGATCTGAAAAGCAAGCATATGGCTCATCAAATGTCACTTGGCTCTCGGGCTGCAACAAGTCCTTTGCTTGGAACTATTGTGCCGACGTCGGAATGATCTCCCGGTTGTTGATGAGGGCCCTTTTGCCTGTGGGAATGAATTCTTCCACGGAACCCTCCTGTTTAAAAATCAGGGCTAGTAAATGAGATTGATCATTGCGCCATTCCCATGTGGAACCCTCCTAAAGCGGCCGAACTGCCCAACACGCCTTCCGGCCAATTCAAGTGGGTAACAAGGGATTTTGCGTGGCTTTCTCTGATTGCTAGCAGTGGTAGTACAAGGCGCTAGGCAAATATACACATGATTCGCTCATGATCATCGCCTGTGGTCTCCAAACACAAAAATACCTTATTAGAAACCAGCAGGCATGTCTACAAGAAATTGAGGCCACATTGGCTTTGCTGTAAAAACAAACTGTAGCTGGTGTCTTAATATGTTCTGATTATCTACCTAGAGTCTCCATGACCTTAAAAAATGGGGCCATTACCCAAAATATAGGGGTCATGGACCTTTTTTTAGAGGGTCAAGACTCCAGGTAGGCCTTTATGGTACCTGGACGCGTTGTCACTGGGTCCCTTTGACCCCCCCCTGCCAGTCCGCTGCAAAGAGTCCGCCGCACATCACGGAGGAGGGGGCCATGGAGTCCTCGAGGCGAATCGGATATGATTTGGACTTCGAGGTGTCCCACTGTCACAAGAAGGAGGTAACTCCAAAAGGAGACTCCTCAAAAACGATGTCTTTAGTGTACCATCCGGGTTTAGGCTTCCTCATTTTCGCGACTGAGGGGAAGCAACACATGTATGGCCAAATTCCTGGTGCTTCTGTTTTTGAGGGTACCTTTTCGTGTGGTGTTGCAAAGGGAAACAAACGTGTTTTGAAAGGAACCCGGAAGCTTCTATCAGAATGGTCAAGACCTACGTGGGCCCTCACCTGCCCTCTGGCGTCTATACGGGGAAGCCTGCTCATCTGTTGGACTGCCATTAAATTGGGCGGACTGTCAAGGTAAACCTTTAAGAGGATCCTTGCATTTGTGCCCTTAAAGCATCACCTCACCAGAAGGAAGCTCAGTCATAATTGACCCACGATGACGTTTAAACAAGAAAAAATGAATACAGGTATATAAGGACTCCTGACTAATCCCAGAAAATCATGTCTGCCTCAGGGGTAAGTGCCTTACACTGTATTGGTAGTCCCACTGCAAATTGGATTGCAGCCGCCCAAGGTGGCGCAATCAACCCTGTAGGCTATCAAGAGAGTAGTTTCTCCAGCAAAGAATCACTCAACTGGGCTCCCTTGTCAGTCCTGGTCGAGCCGCAAGCTTCGGATTTGGCACAGCTTTACAGCTGTCTGTCACAGGCTCTGTCGCAGCTGCCGCTAAAACAAGTCTGACATAGGCTGGCGAAGTAGCGTCTGTCGGCTGGCGGTGGGCCCGCGGCGGGCGGCGGGGGTCGGATGTCACTGACAAATCTAGCCACCCGAAAATGGACACATCCTTGGTTGCTGCTGATCCCTCTGCAAAAAAATAAATAACCTTTTGTGGGTTTAGTGGAAAACCCAACAGTTAAAATCGAAAGATCCAAAGCATCCATCTCGCAGGGGCCCATTTCCGGTACCCTCCCTTCCGCCGAAAACGATACACGATCGGCGGTCCTCGCCCTCTGGGCGCTCCCGGGGCTTTTGGTTCAGCAGCCAGTTGAAGCTCACCAGGCCCAGGCCGAAGACGGCGTAGCTGAAGTCCTGGACAGTCCCACTTGGTGCGATGGGCGGTTTGGGCGCCCAATAGCTCCTTTTAGGCAACTCCTTGTTTCCTACCTAATTAGATCCAGACGTTTTACCTTAGGTAGTTTTGCGGGTAAATTTGAAGGTTTAGACGTCCGGTTCCCACAAAGTACCAGGGGCGACTCCTTGAGGACTTGGGGAAAGAGATCTGTCTGACTCACTCAGTGATCGAAACGCATGGTCGGACAGGTCAGGTTCCAGGAGGACCCAGTGAAAGGCGAAAGTACATGCCACTTCAAACTCAAAAAGGGCGATGTTTGACGACCCGGGTTCAGGGCGCTGTGAACTTCGGTATGTTGATCCCTTCAGAAATGCCTCTCAAAGGAAAATCCCGAACATAGGTGGCCTTTCGGAACAATAGATGGCCCTGGCAAATGGAATAACCCCCATCTAAGCCAGGAATCGCCCTCATATTTTTTAAGCAAACCTATTTTTTCCGGCAAACACCCACCAAAAAGGACACCAGTCCTGAAGGCAGGAGGACCTTCTCTGAGAGCCTTGCAGGCTGGCTGGCCGGCCTAAGGGCTCCAGGACTCAAAGCCCTCGGATCAGGGATCGGGATGGCCCGTCTTGATGGCCCGTCGAAAACGCATTGGGCGATCGGGGAACCTGGGGCGAGAAGGTGAAACCCACAGCTGGCTGGATTGAAGGCTCGGCTTCTTTGAAGTGCTAGCAGTGAGCCGCTTCTGGCGGCGTTTAAAAGGGGGATCTCGCTGTGGAAAACAGGTTTTGGTCTTTGACCAAACTGCAAGACGTGAAACGAGGAAAAACATGTTGAAACTGTTCGTAGTCGCCAAACTAACATACTCCAAAAGGTCTGAAACTCGTGGTCAAGGAGCAGCCATGCCGCATTCAGCCCTAGATCGACTCCTCCGTGTCGATGCCATCGATGCTGGGCACAACCAGTCGAGTGCGGTCCTGAAGGCCATGACCCCTGTGTCCCGTATCCTCCCGTTAGACCATTGTGAACTGGGTGTGGACAAAACTTTGGGGAAGTCAACAGTTTCCAGTACTTACAAATATTCCCAAAAACCTGGCATAATAATTGAAGCTCCAAGTACAGGACTCCCAACAAAAGGCAGAGGGCTGCAAGCCCTGGGGTCACTGGCAGTCTCGACTGGCGACGGGGGCAGCACGATGCATTCTGCGGGTTTTTCTGTCCCGTCGAAAAGGACTTCTGGGCCTCATGGTTCGCCCCGAAGGGCGAGAGACAGGGGCTACTCTAGCATTCAAGCCGGTGCAAAAACTGCCCCACATGATGCACAGCATTGGAAGCACCTAATGTCGACCCCATAATCAACCCCAGTTTATTAGTATAGAGGGTGTCCTTGGGTGTAGTGGGGAATCGTCATTCTTGGAGGGAAATACCCCCATGTTAATAACAGAAGTTGACAAATTTGGGGTCAACATTACCAAGCCTGCCATATGAAACCTGAAGACTGTTTAAATGCCATCCATGAGGGAAGCCAAGTGTAGCTGGCGAGGATCCCTGATAGTGACGCCTGATGCGCCCCTCCATTTGGGGTGAATGCTCGCGTCGTGGGAATGCGACGGCAAGCCGCTGGACAGGGCACCAAGCGTGGAACTGCGCCGAGAAATGATTGATCTAGTCAAAACCGGGGATGCCCCCTAAACGGGCTGTGCTTTCTGAGTGGGGCCCCATGTTTGTTTTTGGAAGAGAGCTAGAAGAAGCCGAGGTGGGCATGTGGAGTTTACTGTGGGGCCCCATATGTTTTTTAAAGAGCGCCAAACGACGCCTTTTGAGGCGTCCAACTCCTCGGCGACGCGCCAGAGCAAGGGCTCCAACCATCCAGGAGTCGCCTGGCAACTGGGCCGACATCTCCAACTTGGCATCCAGACTGCAGTTGACACCCTCTGGCCGTTTCGGGCACCTTGTTAGCTGAGGGTTCCAAATACAATTTCGATCAGTGTGAATCCCCACATGCATTCCCATATCTCTAGTGCTACCTTCCCCATTCTTTCCAGGGATTCGAATCTTTCTAGAAAACCTCTGGAAACCCAGGGAAACAGCCGGCTTTTGAAAAGAACGATGGTTGGAAAGAATGGGGAATCAACCCTTAGAATATCATAGCTCGCATACTTACTCTTCAAAAAAACTGCAATGGAGGCACACCTGCGTGGCAGTTGCGCATGTCTGCGTGTGCCTTGAGTGTCGAGCATCCCCGTTACTTGCCGACATGCACCGTTGTCCGTATCAAATTTCATCCTGCCTCCACGTGACTGTCCAAGCAAACGATGATCTCTCCACGGGCACGCCATATACCTGGCTGATTGAACGCCGCAGAAAGAGAGAGAGAGAGAGAGAGACGGAAAAAAGAGATAAACACAGAGAAGACAGACATTGAGCAAGAAAGAAACAGACACAGAAAGAAAGAGGGATACATTCACAAACAATAAAGACAACATGACTGAATAACTAAATACCAAAATAACATAAAACTAAATCACTACATGAGTATATCAAAAAAAGATAAACAAACAATATAAAACAACATGAATAGAGACAAAGGAAACACACAATCAAACAAGACGGGAAGCAATAAGTATAAAATACAAGTCATAAATAAATAAATACAGAAGGAACAACATAAACACAGATAGACAGACAGACAGACAAACAGACAGAAGGAACTAAAGAAAGACAGAGAGAAATAAGCAAGAGATAAAAGAAAAAGCAAAGCAAGAAAGAGAGAGAGAAAGAGAGAAAAACAACATGAATAAATAATACAATAAACAAAGGCTGAAACATTAACTACAACTAAGTACACAACAAATGAAAACCGAACAACAACACATAAAGAAACAAATACGCACATAGCGAACAACTACATAATCGATCAAACAACAATAGACATATTGGTGTGCTTACAAACAAGTTACATAGGGGGTGGGGCGAGCGAGTAAAAAAGAGGAAGAGAGACATCAAACACACAACATATTCAAACAAACAAACAAAATAAACTTGTCCAGGACCCCAAAAGCACCCCCCCTGCCCCCTGTGCCTGTGAGCACACCGCCAGTTCAAGCTTGCTTGATTCAATGGTGTGTGTGTGTGTGTATGTGTGTGCTTGTGTGTGTGTTGGGGGAAGGCCATGTGCTTGCTTCTCAAATCCGGACATGACAGGATCAAAAGGCCCAAGCTGGGGTGTTCAAAATGGAGGGAGGGCTTAATCCTCAATTCCCTTTGCGACAGCACAAGGAAACCGCTACCATCTACGCCACAATCAAAACCTGGTATTAAAAGGGTCCACTCAAATCAACACCATGCAACAAAAAAGGGGCGGGGGGGGGGGGGCTTCTGGCTTGGATGCACCGTCCCCTACCCTCCAATTCCCCAGGCTTTCATGGCTCATCTCGCAAGGATCTTGCGGATTCATGTTCAACGACCCAGCTGTCTTGGGAACACCCCCCCTTCTTCCGAGTGCTACGCAGAAAGGTTGATGATCTATGCCACCTGCCATACCAACTTGTTCCGCTTAAACGCAAGCCTAGGTTGAGGTCATGAAGCGCTGGTGTGATAGGCAATCAAGCGAAACCTGCGCATGTGGTATAAGAGCGAAATCCATACACATGTCGCACATCATCATCTTACGGCCATAACTTATATAGTTTGGCTTTCAAGTACTCCGCAACCCCCTCCAATGACTTACTTTGGGAGCTGTACTCGCTGCTGGTGAACTGTGGCTATCAGCTCGGGTCTCTGCGTGCATCCACACCAGAGTCACCAGAGGCTCGGCATGGCCGGCAACAGAAACCGAAACCAACGCCCAAAACCAATGCCCCTGTGTTGGTCCCGACAAAAGAAAACACGCACACACCCGTGTACCTGGAGTCTCCATGACCCTTTAAAAATGGGGGCATTAATTACCCTAAATAATGGGGTCATGGACCTATTTTTAAAGGGTCATGGAGACTCTAGGTAGTTCCCAGTGATGGCAAACGTAGCACGTAGATTGCTGAGGTGCAAGCTTTCTGTCATGCTCTTCCAAAAAAAAGGTATGAGGAAAATTTTATCTACGAGGACTTGCACTGGAAGGACGTTTTGCGCCGAAGCCTCGAAGCCCTCGGCCGAGGGAAAAAGCTCCAGCCGGCGGGCCTTCCATCCTCGCCTTCATGAGGCCGCGGCGGGCCTCGAATGGTCGAAGTTGGAGCCTTGTGGTTAGTCTGTGGCTCAAAAACAAGTAGGTATTTCCCCCAAACATTGACCATGGTAGGTATTTTCCCCAAACATTTGGCTGTGGCTGAAAAAACCGGTACCAAAATGGGTTGCCCTGGTAAGTGGAATGGACCAAAACCTGCGGTTTGCCCCTTCTATTTAATTTTGAGCCACACCCATTAGGCGCAAAGGCAAATACATTGAACCGATTGACGTGAATACTTGTTCTTGCCCAAATTGTTGGGGTTGATACAATGAACCAATCAAACCGTTCGTGCTCAACCCATCACCGTTCGTGATATAACACTCAACCACAACCTTTGGCTTGTCCCCGTGGTTACCTACTTGGGGGGTCGGCCAAGCCAGTCGTTGTGTAGGTGATTTCCTCATGAGTGAGTTGGGCCGGTAAGTAGGTTACCCAGGTGAATACAGCTTGCAAACTTGGCCGAACATCCGAGGACTAGATAACGTTGACCCAAGCCGGGGGATTCGGCGGGTCCAGAATGGGTGCCCAGAATGGAACCCTATAGGAACCTGGGGTCCAATTCCAGGTTTAAATGTTGACCCACCCAAATTTGAGAGAAAATCCGGGGTCAATATTACAGGGAAGAGGGAACCTCCGGGCAAACTTGCCATGCTTCCCTTCCCGCCAGCGCCTTAAGCCGCACCAGGGCAACCTGACTCGAAGTCAGACGCGTGTCTCTCGTTTTGCGCTTGGCGAACCATCGCGGGCAATGGGTAGCCGCATTGCAGTCCATGCGGCTGCAAGAGCTTCCGGAAAGGTGTTTTATACAGACTAGGAGAGAGGATAGAATAAGTTGGTGCCAACCTTTTTCATTTGTGTCTATTTTAGTAGGGGAACCCTCCCCCCAAAAAAAGGGTAAAAGGGCAATACTGGGGGACCTAGTCCATGTCCGCAAGAAGAACTTCCGGGAAGGTGCGTGCTTTATACTGAGGATGCATCGTTGTGACCAGGTGCACTTCCTTTGCCCCTGGCAATAAAAAGATGGCCAAGAATCAAGCGTGACAATCAACACAAGGTATGAAAGCGATCAACCCAAAGCCACACAATTCATCACAAGGTTGGCTGAAGCAATTTATCTTTGCGACTATCCTTGCTACCCTTCACTTATCTGGAGGCGTCCATTGGAAGGTCTTCGTGCTACATGTTGCCTGACCTTTGCAAACAGCTGCGGTGGCCGATTCTCTCCCCGTCGTACCTCAGCGTTTGATCCCCAAAACAAAAAAAAATTATTGATTCTGGTGCATCTGAAGTGAATCTTAACATGTAAACCTTTTAATATTAAGAGAAACCAGGCTTGGTTGATCAACGCCCAACACCCATTGACTTGTGGCTCAACCAAAATGATCATAAAGGCTGACATAGGCCTTATCATAATTCTTGTTCAATCAGGTAGTAGAAGCAACTGGCCTTGTTTGGGGGAAAACGTGGGGGAAGATAGAACACCAGAGGGACACCAAAAAGGCAAACCAACAAAGTAAAAACCAGAGAGAACCACACAAATCAAAGGAACACCAACAAATAACCTGAGGACAACAAAAAAATGAAACAGAAGGGAAACCAACCCAAACAGAAAAGGAAAGCAGCAACGAGCCATAGGAAAACCGACCAAACACTAGAGGGAGACCAACAAAAAGCCAAGCGCAAACAAACAAACACCCACAGGAAAACCAAGATAAAACAGAGAACCAAAAGCAAAACAACACCGAAGGGAAGCCGACAAAAAGAAAACGACGGAAAACCAACAAACAACAAAGGGACACCGACATATATCCTGATAGAAACCAACGGACAGAAAACCAAATGGAATAAGGGAAACCAACAAAACAAACAAAGGGAAACCAACCAAAAACTAGAGAGAGATACCAGCAAACAGCCAAAGGCAAGCTAACAAACACCCACAGGGAAACTAAGAAAAACAAAACCAAAGGCGAACCAACACCGAAGGGACACCAACCAAAAATAAAACCAGAGGGACACAAACACAAGGAAAGCCTAAGGGAAACCAATTGAAAGAAAACCAAAGGGCAACCAACAAAATCAAAGGGAAACCCACAAATAACCTGAGGGAAACCATCAAAAAGCAAACAGAAGGGAAACCAACCAAACCAGAAAGAGAACCAAAACACCAAAGGGAAACCAACCTAAAACTAGAGGGAGACCAACAGAAAGCCAAACGCAAACTAACAAACACAGGGAAACCAAGGTGAACGGAAAACCAAAAGCAATCCAACACCGCAGGGAAGCCAACACAAAACAACAGAGTAAGACCAACAGAAAGAACACTTGAGGGACAGCAACACAAATAGCAGCTGAGGGAAACCAACATAACTGATTTAAAGCGAAACCAGCAAAACTAAATCCAAAGGGAAACCAACAAACTTAAATCCAAGGGGAAACCAACAAACGGAAAACCAACGGAAATCCAGCAACAAACGCACCTGAGCGAAGCAAACAAAAACTCACAGGAAAACCAACAAAACAAAGGGAAACCACCACAAAAGCCCAAAATGGGACCAGCAAACGCCAAACCTGGAATGCTGGAAACCCGCTGCGGGGAAAAACAAACAATCCGGCCTTGGGAAGCTCCTGCAGGTGTGCCTCCAGCTCACCCTGGAGCCGCTGCCATTGCCTCCGTGTCTTGAGTCAACGAGGCACCACTTACTTTGAGAACTCAAGCGGCTGAGTTTGACTTATGGTTAGCTCGAATGACACTTAGCTTCTTACGACCATGATGATGACAATGATAATGATAATGGATGCGTGGTGGTGGTGGTGGTGGTGGCGGCGGCGGCGGTGGTGCCGAGGGGGGGGGCAGGGGCGGCGGCGGCGGAAGTGACGGCGACGGGTGGCGGCAGTGGTGGTCGTCGTTGTCGTGATCGCGGTTGTGACGGCGGACCAGTCCCTTTGACCCATTCGGGCGTGTGCTTGTTTGAGGCTCGGTTCCCGCGCCCTTTTCAGGTTGTCTCAAAAGGGAAACCAAGTCAAGAAAGATGACAATGATGATGGGTATGATTCTGACAACAAACACCGCAATGACAATCAGCATAAAGACAAGAACGATGATGGAAAAAGGGTGAGGATAACAGAAGAAGGGCAAGGATAAGGATGATAATGAGGCTGCAATAAAGGATGAACTGAGTATGATAGTGATGATGACGATGAAAACACTTAAGAAGAACCACGCGACAACCATTGTTTGACATGTTCTGATGTTGCGATGCTGCGTTGGTGAGTTTGTCCTTCTCACTCTTCCGCAAAATGACACACAAAACAAGATTCTGGACATTCCAACGAGTACTTTTGTCTTGTATAGCTTCTGTTTGTGTCTCATTCTGCAACGCAAACTCCCACACCTAAGCAAGGAACGCCCGCAAAAAAAAAAAAAAACACGCAAAAGCGCACATCCCCGCAAAAACACGCCCAAAATCGCCGAAAACGCCCTCAATCGTGAAACGCCCGGGAAAAAGTATGGAAAGGAATGTCCAGGATAGGCTCGCAAGCCAGCCCACTTTGGTCAAGCCCTCCAATACCTTTCCCCCCCCTGCTAAAAGTGAATAACTTTGAGTGGTTCAATTGAAAACCCATTAGTTGGCAAAACGTTATAAAGTCCAATGATCCCTTGGCATTTTTGCCAAGACTTTTGTTTAGGATGTCGATTTTAGTAGGGGAACCCTCCCAACCAAAAAAGGGGTCAAAAGGGAACTACTGGGGGACCTAGTCAAGCCCTCCGACACATTTCTCCCAATAAAAAATCCCCGTGCCTTTGAGAGAACTTCTCTGGCTCCGGCCGGCTGGCATCGTCTAAGAGCAGCACCTTGCGGGAGCGAGCTGCGCTTGGGGTCTGTCCATTTTTGGTACCCTCCCCCAGACTAACATGGAAGCTCCCAGGACCCCTTTGGAAGGGAGCTTCCATGTTAGTCTGAGGCAGTGCCCTCCCACCAACCAACATGGAAGTGCAAAAGGGCCCTTTCCAAGAGGAAAGTTGTCTTTCTACAGGGGTCTGAATCCATGTTAGCTGGTGGAAGGGTACCCGTTTCTTTAGTGGTTTGAACGGGACGCCATTTGGGGGTGTGATGGCATCTGTGAGTGGGGTCTGTCAATTTTTGGGGGTACCCGTTTCTTTGGGTGGCTTTGAAGGGAGGCCGAAAGGAAAAACCGGTTGGGAATCCATTTTGGGGGGGTTCCCTCCACCAGGACGCACCCAAACGCTCCCCACATTTTTGGCTGTGAGGGTGACAAATGTTCCAGGGCGGAGGCAGACCCTCCCTTGGGTTTTCCCCATTCGTGTCCATCATGCCTGCCAAAACGGCCGGAACCAGCCGTGCACCTGGTGTGGAAGGAGTGAACATCACATGACATGGCATGATTTCGTCGGCAACTGTGGACTGCACAAAGAACAGGCAAACAATAGCCCTGAGCATTTCCCTAGCAAGGCATTGCTAGTAGTGACACAAACCTGAAGCTCTAAACATGGCTCTGCCTCTTCAACGCGACATCAAGCAAATTCCCAACTGCAGTTGCATCAGGCCGTTGGGACCTATGCTCATGCACGGCATGAAAACATACACCATGTCAAAACTGCTCGTTGACGTGTTGCTTCATGGGAAGTTCTTCCTCCCAGTGCTTCCAGTTGCCACTCTATTTGGTAAACGATTGGGTTTCTTACTTCTAGGTTTTGCATCATGGTTTTTCTTGGTTACCTACATGTACTATAGTGGCTTGCCTGGAAGCGCTGAGCCTGGTTTCGAGACCAAATCAGAAGAAAATGAAGCTTGGCCGGCCATGGCGCCGTTTCTGCTGCGTCAGTTTTGCATGTACTGACGTGCGCTCACATACCCTGCCACCCCCCAAAAAATTGGCCCGCCCGAACCCCTGACCAAGTTTGAGCACACTTGTCTAAACCAAGCGGAAGCCATAGGCTTACAGTAGTCTTTGAGCCACGGCCAAACATGAACCTATCCTGGGAACCGAAGTCAAACAGCTCGGCTTTGGTCGGAGAGGCGCAACCTTTGAAGGCGCTGCAGTCGCCGCGCACTGCCGGGTGAGCTTGTGTTGACGAACAAGTCTGGAGATGCAGCTGTCAAGTTTCGCCACTTTTCGCATTGCACGAGACGAACATCGGCTGCTCTATAGTCAAATTGAAGTGAAATGAGCACCATGCTTGGTAACTGTAAAATGCTCATATCAGACCACTTGTGGACTGGAACGACCGCAAGGGCCTTCGAATATAATTCAAACGTGTCAGTCTGGCGGAAACTGTGCGCCCGCCGACGCTTGTCCCCAAGGTCTTCCCGATGTTCAGATCAGATCAGGCTTTGCTGCATTGCCCAGGCATCCATATAATGCATACACATCAGTAGACATCGGGGGACAACGTTGTATACACTGTACTGACTGCTTAAAATTTCAGCCTTTCAGGAACCTCCCACCTTGCCACTTGTCGGCTTGGTGTCCTCCTTGGTGTCTTCCTTGGTCTCACCTTTGATATAGGCCTTGGTCGCCTCGTAGCTATCAATGACCTTCTCCTCCAAATGCTCAAAGCTATCAATGACCTTCTCCTCCAAATGCACGAAGCTTTCCTTGACCTGCTCGGTGAAAGTATGATGCTCCGGGCTCGGGCTCTCCTGCGGGCAATATTCAGTCTGGGCAAATGGCAATGGTTCCCAAACTGGAAATGAGGGGAACCCCCTGCCTGGGGGAAACCCCTGCATGGGTGATCTTGTTGTAGCCCAAGGTGGGGTTCTCTCCTTGTGAGTTGCCCAAACTCAATTCCAAGTGCCGTTGTCTTGAAAACACGTTCAACACGGTGTGTTTGCGTGAAGGTGGTGAATTGCACCAATTGTGTGAAAAATAACGACAAGGACACTCTTGGTACATTAACAGTAGAACTCCCAAAGAGACGAGCCCCGGATAATATTCATTGCGCCCCCCAAGTAGCACGGGAGTTTCAAGAGCAACCCCGTTTCCTAATGATAACTAAGGCAAACATTGACTCATGTCATCTGCATACGGTCCGCAACAGAACTCTTTGCCCCAAACCGCCACAACAACACAAACAACATTTCAGACATGACACGAATCCAACCACTCACTCACTCAAGTTTGCACGGGGCCTCTGTGGGCGCAGCTGATTTCTTGGGGGGGATCAGGCCCAAAAACGACACGATTCCAACCAGTCATAAAGGGTTTCTTGCCCCTGATACGCACAGCTTGTTGGATCGCATCGCATCCCATACCTCCAGCGATCGGAACACAATGATGCCACCTGCTTTTTTGTCCGTTGACCTTTTAAATGAAAGTCGAGCAAGAAAGAAAACATAAAAAAACACGGGCACACAGAAATCTGTGTTGTCGGTTGACTTCTAAAAGGAAAGCCGGAGAAACCACACAGAAATCCGCTTTGTCGGTTGACTTCAAAGGACAGCCAAAAACAAACGGGCTCACGGAGAAAAATCAATGGACCCTTTGGGCTGTCTCCTGAGCCTCCTTGCCCACCAGGCGCTCATAGCCTTGGGCCGCCTTCTCCTGCATGGTGCAGAGCCCGTGCTTCATCCTTGGTTGCTGCAACGACCCCCCCCCCTGCAAAAAGTTGTTTTTCACTTTTTGGGGGTTAGTGTTGAAAACCCTTGATTTTCAACCAAGTTGAAGTCTAAAGATCCAACCCAATAGCAGTCAAGCATCCTCTCCAGCAAGCTGGGGACCTCCTTGCAGACGAGGTGTCAGCTTGGTATGTGCGTTTTTTTGAGACGAAGAGTACCCCTTTGTTTTGGTGGTTTGAAAGGGAAACCACAAGAAAAAGGACCGTTTGAGTGGGTCCCCGAAAAATAGACACCCTGTATCTGGTCTTGCTTTTTGAGGCGAAGGGTAGGTGGTTTTAAAGGGAAACACAAGGAAAACTACCCTTTGAGTGGGGCCCCTAAAAGTACACACCCTTAAGACGAAACAAGACCCGGCTAAACTGCGTGCTCCCATCGACACCGCCGGATTGACACATCTTTGCTGCTAAGGAACCAAAAAGAAGAAGACCAAAAGGGAACACGTTGCAAAGGCGAGGTAAAGACATGGTTGAACCATTGCCGCGTTGACTCAAATGGGTTCTCTTTAACAGGCCAAGCATGTGGAACTCACTGCTTAACCAGGCCTGTCAAACATGGGGAACTCACTGCTTAACCATGTTGAGCATGACCTCTTTGACGGTTCCCTCGCTTCCGGAAGCCCTTTCAGTGTGGTCGCTTTGTTCTTTTGGTCGCTTCGGAAATTCCCCATGAGTCAAATGGTAGGTCACCAGCTTTGTCCCTGTTGGCTTTTGATTTGGGTGGCAAGCCCTTGGTTATTTCAGGATGGATCCACTGCGTACCCTACGTGACAAATCAGGGCTGAGAACTCTTCAAACAGGGATCCTGACATTTTACACCTGAACATTGCCTTGTAAGTTGTTTCCCTTTATTTTGGTGGGAAAACACATGTTTCAAATGGGCAAAATGTATCTGTTAAGGAGCCCTGTCAAATTGCAACCATTTGGGCCCACAGCTTTTGCCAATTTCTCTCCTCCTGCGGCTCGGTTTCCTCCGTGCGGTTCAGACCCTCCTGGATTTTTTTCTGCAGAAAACGTACCCTTTGGGAAGACGGTTTACGAAGAGGCTCGAATTACCTGCTTCGAATGCGGAGCAATTTTGAGTATGATTGTCTTAGAAGGTGCTTGGACGTGGAGAAAGGATTTGGCTTTTGGCGCCTGTGATTCCCTGGCTTGTATACCTTTGGCTAAAACCACACAAACGCCACGATGACTGCAATCAATCGCGTGGGACACCGCGGGACACCGCAATGAAGCAGGTTCATTCGATGCAGAGCTTTTTCATTTGGAACCTCTAAACACATCACTCCCTTCCAAACCTGCGCAAAATGGTCTATTTCAAGCTTTCCCAAGGTGTGTTTAGGCCGGCGGGGGGGGGTGGGTGAGGGGGGTGGGGACCGGATCATCGCTTTCAGCCTTCAGGGTGTGACGAACCGGGGAGCTGTGAAGTCAGATATTCACTGACCGTGAGTCCGGCTGACTGCTAACATTATGTGCTCGCCTCGAGGATCTCAAAACAAAAATGCGCGTGCAATGGAACGTGCTTCGAGAAAAAAGAAAAACAAACTTGCTTATGATGCTCGTTGACCATGGCCCCTAGAAGTGACAGATTGCAACCATCAAAACAACAAGGTGCACCGTATTCATCGTCAATGTAACATCACCATACTTCTAGAATGAGTCGCCACTATTGTCTCTGCTTTATGTGTAATCTGAATGTCAGCCATCCACAATTGAAAACACCGTGTTTCATTCATAGCTTCATGGGATGTTGCTGGCCTGACAGGTTTCCCACAACAGTCGGTGCATGTCACGTCTCCAGTTGCAAGTCGCAGGATTCTGAAATGGCACTTGATTGGCAGATCCTTGGATGTTGTCCATTTGGGAGTGTCTTGTTGGGGAATCTCCTTTGCAACGTGAAACCAAAAGGCAAAACCCAAGTCCAGTTCATGTCATTGCCTGTCGCATCTTTCACCGGTCGCCTGGAGGTTTTCTTGCAGGTTCTCCAGCTTTTGCACCTGCGACTCCTGAGCGCTCTTGCGAGTGTCAAAAAATTACAAGGAACCTCCAGAGAAGCAATGGATAGACAACAAAAACAATGCCAAGAAGAATAATAATAGACAAATGCCGCCATGGTGAAAAGCGACAACAAACCACAATACGACCATGTCCAACTTTGACTCGACCCTTTGGCACACATCAACGTGACCTAGCGCTGGTTTTTCGCTCCTCATGCAGCA